AAAAATAAAGTATTTAAAAATAATTACCATTAAGTGATGTGGGAAGTCCCCAGTGACATTGAATTCCAAATGAAGGAGTTTATCATAAGACAATGTGTAATTAATTGTTATTCTGTGAAATATTACAATTTTGCATTTCATTACTGCTCAGTGATGGCATTGTGTTTATCGTGGACAGTACACAAGCAACTGTCATATGATATGTTTACAATTTTCTTCAAACTTCTCTGGAAAATTGCTACATAGCAGTGTGATTATTATCTGTTGCAAGTGCTAAATAATGGGTACGATCTCCTCCGCAGGGCTGCTCCAAGCTGACAGATCCAAACCTTACAGCAATTGGACAGAGATGTAGCAATCTGGAGTTCCTGGATGTAAGCTTCTGTTCTGGCATGTCTCTAGAAGAGTCAGAACATTTGAAATTAAGCCTGCAGTTCCTGCACGGACTTCACAGGCGGAACCTGCTTTAAAGAAATTTAATAAATCTAGTGTAAAGCAACGAATCTAGTACCGCCACCTCCACCAGTGAAATTCTGTTCTTTATTGCGACACTAGTAACCGCATTTATTTAGTGAAAATGAAAATTTGGCAGCAGAATATAAATGTTTTTCTAGTGATAGGTTGATGGCAAAGATAATGACTAATAGAGAGAACTTACAGCTTAATGATTCATGATGAAAGTTCTTGATTTTACAACATTTACAAAACCTTGATTGAGATTGGATTAAGGGTGTTGAAGTATGGGCTGGAAACATCTGGTTCCGGACGCAGTCCATTGATGGGCTCTTGTGAAAACAATAATGAATGTTCGAGTTCTGTGAGAAACAGGGAATTTACTATCAGGATGACAATAAGCTTTACAGTAAGGACTCAGTTTCACAGAGTTGGTCAGAAATGAGAAATAGGAAGGCGTGTCAAAATGCTACATTGGGTCCAACCAGTCTTAAACCCTGGATTTTTGGCTCAAGAATCTAGCACCATTTTCAGCTTCTTCTGTGTCCTGGTCTTCACACACATCTGCATTACAACTTTTTTCAATTTCCACTCTTCTGCTTGTTCTGACCCTCTTCTTCTCAACCCCATCCCTGTGATTCCAGCATCTGCTACTTTTTGACACATTGTCAGTTTGAGGGATTGAAGCCACACTTGGTGTTGGAAAATGGCCTGAACAGACATGTCTGTCACTGCATTGAAACAGCATCCAAGGTCAAGATATATAAGCCTAGGAAGGTTCTCTGCTATAAGACACAAAGTTCTCTCACCTAAGGAGAGTTCAGCAAGATTAAATCGTTGCAAATGCAGATTTACAGAGGAGCAAAGTCCCCTCTCAATGCCCTCACCTGATTACATTTTGACAGGTTTAAATTTACTAATTTCTTGAGATTACACAGTTCTGATATGCCTGTGTTTGTTATGGCATAGCAGGCCTCTATATTGAGCATCAAAAGGTTCTTTAGGTTGTGACAGATAGCTATGAGAGCAGGATCACCAATGAATGCATGAACAATGATTTAAATCTAAATTAGTGAGACTTTGTTGGTACTCCGTGAGTCTGAGTATGCCTGCATTATTCAGCTGTTGGCAAGACTGAAGATGAAGTTTTTCAAGATGTAGTTCTGGTACTTCTGCAAGTTGTGACAATGCTGCACCATCAAAGCGCGTGCCACCAAATTTCAACTTCCTAATTTTCCCTGCTTGTGACACAATGTGTTGTAATATATTAATGAATGTCAGAACACTTTCTGATGCCATTATGTAGCCAGATTCTAACATGTCACCAGGGTAATATTTCTTACACAGCTCAAAATCGAAAGAGATCCGACATTCTGTCAATGACAGATCTTCCAAATTGGAAGCAATTGCCGCAAATCTATTGAAAAGGGCATCTGACAAATATTTATTTGAAGCATGACTTAGCTCCCTAAGTTTGACAAGAGTGTTCCTAAGCAGAATAACATCAGATGCATGCTCCAGAACCCTTCCTGACTTCAAAAGTTCAGAAACACCCACTCACATTGAGAGTTTCTAAATGTGAGCACTTTAACTAAATATCTACAAAGGTCTTTTCTGATATATCACAACTATTTATGGAAAGAGACTGCATTTGTGGACAGTATCTATCCCAAAATTTGGTTAACTTTCCTCCTAGTTCTACTTCTTTGAACACAAAATTCAGAAATGTTCCCAAGACTATTTTCAAAGACTTGTAGTGGTCTAGTGAGGTCATCTTGCAATACCACTACTTCATTGCTATGCAGTTTGAGGTCTTTTGATGCCATATGCCACAAATGGCACACTTGAGAGGCACTAATTCTGTCTGACAAAGGCAGGATGTATATTATAATCTGGAATATGAAAACAATTTAAAATATAACAAGGTAGCGAAAAAAATTTGTTTTAGTAGAATGTTTTTAAGAGGTGGCCACAAAAGCTTCAACTTTCTAAAAACGAAAAATTAAAGTACACGTTACAATAAACTATTCTACATCATACACTACATAATCTTAAGCATAACTGGTTCTATTTCAATTGTGTTTTATAGGTCATGCCTATAAAATTTGTAATAACTATAAATGAATAAGCAAATAACTATCAATTTAAAATAATCATGTAAGTATGAAGGAGTCAAAATTGTGTCTTCGGCAGAATCAAATTAAGCAGATTTAGCACATAAGAACCAAACTCTAATATGGATAAACATGTAACTTATTTTAAACATGCTTCAAATACAGTAGTGTGCCCACATAACGTTCCTTCTGTTCATATTTTCCACAATTTTCAGTTCAATTTCTGGACATCCAGTCCTATTAATCAGTGTTATATTGTTGCCTTTTAACATTTAAATTCACTACCCCACTCCTAGAGAAACGTAAAATAAGAATTTCACTGAAGTCAGCTCCTGAATAGTACTCCTCTGAGCTTTTATCCTCGTTATTGCTGTGAACTTATTTTCACGGCAAAACTTTTAGCCAGCAGCCCATGACACCTCACCATCATATGCAGTTCTCATTTATAGTGAATGAGACATACCTCATATGAGGCGAGAAGTCAGGAGAGCAAGCGCAACCAACGATCACTAGTCCACTGTTGGTCTTGCGATTCATCTTAAAGCGATTCAAAGCTTAGAATATGGCAATCTTGTTGTCCATACTCTGACAAGCTAGCCACTTCTGGTTTGGCGATGGTGTCTCTGCAGGCATCGAGTGCATTGTGGGGTCGGCTATATACTTCATAACCACTGGAATGTCCCTGGAACAGACATTTCACAATGAATGAATACAAGTAAATACGGAATTTTCGTCTGTACAAGCAAAACGTTTTTGATAAAAAAAACATCCAAAATTAGAGTGTGGCTTATATATATGTGGAATATTGAATACTTGTTTTTTAAGAAAAACTAGATTCTCTTAAGAAAAGAAACCGTGATCCCACAGCTGACTGAGCCTGCAATTTCGATGTTGCATGCTGTGAAACGCCCAGTAGAGACTGCTAGTGTTTGAGAGAAATGGAAAATGTCAAAATGAACTTGCTAAGAATTGATGTACTGCTGTTGTTAATCCAATGGTAACACCTGTCCTCATGAATGAACCATTTTAATATTATCCTACCATTTACACCCATATTTCCATGTGGCTCTCTTCTGCACCACATGCCTGCCAACAATGCCACCATCAATCACGTACACTTTCATACTAGATATATTTGTTAAAATGATTTGTAGATACAAGGGAAGAAAATATTGCAGTTAAGCCTAAAATTTATAGACTGATTAGCTTCAAAACAATGAGAAAGTCCCTTCTTTAACAACGAAAGTTTTCAGTACTGGAGAAATATAATATGACATAAACCAAACCAAAACCTAACTAAAACTGTTTACTCAATGAGCACTACAAAGTCTATGTGAGACATATTTTAATTTGGTAAATACAGAAAGAAATAGCCTCAATACTTGGAGCCCAGCAGTTCTTCTATCAGTGGTATCTGCCTCACTTGATGAGATGCCAGAGACTGTACTAGCATGATCTCACCTTTTAAAAATCCCTTTACAAACATACATTTTCATAGTTACAACTGTGTACTATTGGAAGTGTAACAAAGGACTGTGTTTTGTAAAGTGCTTTCAGACTTCCCCCCCCCCCCCAAAAAAAAAAAAAAAACTATGAGGAATAACTGCTGCAAGCCAGTGAGAGACTAGCAGGTCATGTGATGAAATTTGTAACTTATAGGTTTTTCATAGGAGCAGAGGAAGAGTGACAAAACTTTCAACATTTACAGCCCTGGAAACCAAAGGTGAGTATTATTTTATTACTATCCTTTAATATTGCTGGAATATTCACATAGGATCAAGCATGACAAGACAAAATTATAGCACAAAACTCACAAGAAATGTGTTTCTGTCGTGTCCTATAATTTACGTGATACAATATAAAAGTGAGGCACGAACTCTCTGGAAGTTTACTGAACAACACGACACAAAATATGTGCCCCGATATTTAACTTAAAAGATACATTTAACAAGATAATATTCAAAGGCGAATCTCAGTTTGGATTTTCTTAACATTCCATGCTACGTACAAGATGTATCACTCTGAATTACATCCTTCACAGAATCACTTTAAAACACTGGGCTTATACATAAACTGCCAACATAATAAATGGTGAATGTGGCCAGATATATTAAAATTTTGAGAAAGTTTCATCTATCACAACCTCAAATTTGATAATATTTATTTCCTCGCCTACAATTATAGAACTGCTGTGACTTGGTTACCAAAGTTTGATTTTAAAAAATGTGAACAGATGAGAAGATGGCTGTCTTCTGAGTTCTTATCCCATGTAGTCTGGTACAAGTTGACAATGTTTCACAGGTCCTGCATTGGTTCCTCCATTATGATCTGTCCCTGTCAATAAAGCTAACAGCTTTCCTAGTGACACCCAAAATGAAGCCTTTTTGTTCACCAGTCGTATAACTTTTTAGATATCAGCAACTGAGTAGCCGCACCTAAATATTTTGGTTGAATGTTTTCCTGGCTCTGTGATTCTCCACCCACCAATACAGGGCATGACATGCAACTCTGAGTTCCTGCAGTTACAAGTCCCGACCCAGTATCACATTCCCTGTAAATCTTAGCCAAGGCCTCTTTGCTGCACTGGTAAATGCGTTTACCACAATCTTCAGTTCAGGGTGATCGAGTGGCATGGCAAAGAGTAGAGGACCAAACGAGACTGGCATCAACTTCTGCTTGTGGAAGAGTCTGCAAGACAAAATGACAAGTCAGAGCTCTGATAAATCAACATTCATACAACCTATAAAGCAATATGACAGATTAACAGTCTAATCAACTAATGTTTACTTAAGTCCATTCAGTTCCTATGGTTATATGCAAAGATCTAATTACTAAATACACAAAATATCAGAACATGCAAGTTAAAGGCATTTATAACACCGCCTGTAAGAACCATGCTAAAACAGTGGGTAGGTATATGAATCCTAAGTCTTAACTTTTTAGTCTTCTATGGAGCATATTATAATCTAGAAATTGCTTTCCTCTTCTTTAAATCAATTAAAAGTTCCCACATCTCTGGCTTCTTCTACTGTCTGCACAAACATATAGGAGGTCAGAGAGGTCAATTCAGAACCTCCTGTGAAATTTTGATGCCAAGTGGTAATTTTGGAAAAGGAAAGGGTGCTGTAACTCAGAAAGCAAAATTCCATACCTGCATTATGCATACTGTTGTCATTGCTTGGAAGCAAAGAACACATTCTTATATTTGTGCCAACCCTTTTAACTGTAAAAGAAATAAAGTGCTCAAAATTGTACTCTGTATGTTTGTAACACTGCCACAATAAATAAGCAACTTCATTACTGGAGCATAGATTATGCTCACTTTCAGAAACTTCATTTGGTAATAGAAATCTAACATTTCCATTATTTGAGATCAGGTTATTTTAAGAAAATCCCAGACTAAAAGTGTGCTCATTTCTTAGTCACAACGTAAATATATGGGACTTAACAATGACTAAATTACTGTCATCACTATCTGAAATGACTATTATTTCGTTAACTCCTTCCATTTATGCCCATAAACCTTTTCCATGAGTATGGCAGCGTGAATATTTCATATGCACCACATCGGCTACAGTACACAAATGTTAGCCAAGGACAACCACAGCATTCTAAATTAATATATCATTTTCAAAGCTATGCAGTCCTGGGCTTCCACCTCATTTTCTAACAATAGCAGAACAACCAGAAATTAACCATGTTCTTCTGCAACATAAGACAGTAATTGTTCTGACCTTGAAAGTTTAGTCACATTCCTGACTTCTGAATGTCTGAAAAGCTCCGCGCCCAAGTAGTCCTGAGTGGTGTCAACGATGACTTCATCATCGACAGGTGGCTAGCAGCTTTTCATGACATCTCTCTCCATCTGATGCCCTGTAGGATGAAGCATAAACATTAATGGTATGGACCAGAATGCTTATTGTAAAGTCTGGCAGGATGAAGCGAGATGAACTCAGTTTAAGACTCTCCAATTGTGGAGAAAGTGGAAGCGTTTTGAACTGAAGTCTTCTGCATGGTCCGTGCTTTAAGTTACTTAATACAGCATCTACGAGGACATCTAACTATGCCATAAACATTTTAGTAACTTCCTCACAAACTCAAAGCATGTACTGAAAGGATCTGACAGTACGTTATGCACGTCTTCCTTAACGTGTTATTGTGATCCTACTGTGTACTTATTGATAATTTTATGACATTTCTTAGACAAAAGCTGTTCTGCTAGGGATATAAATCACACTTTTTACCCACTGAATTTTTAAAAGGAATCACCGAGAAAGAATGTCAGAAGTCTCCAAATGTGTACTCTCGCTATGCTTGATTTTCCTAGTACAAAACAGGGAAAAGATTGAGTTTAGAACTAAAATACTTTGATACCTTGTAGTATTATAACTAGAAGAATGGATGCCTCTTGATCTCCAGAACACAAACCTCCCCTTTACCTATCCATTTTATGGGATCCTTCTCTATTAATGTGCTGACAAAATATGCCACATCCGAGGAAAATTTCAATGGCATCTTTCCTATCTAAATCACAATAATTTTATTGCTGCTTATAACAAACAAGTAGACTTTATATCCATCACCAAAAATGCAACAATATTTTCACATTCATATTCTATTAACATTTCCAAACAATGTGTATTAAACTTTGTGTTACTGTCCACAGATAATTGTATATAAGAGAGTAAATTTCATGCATCCTCAAAAAATTCTGGTGACACTTCTAACCAAATCTGATGAATCAGAAAACAATACATGGCTAATATCAACTCTATGATTCACAAATGTAACTAAATTCTTAAAAAATTAGTTCAGAATGAAATCAAATAATTTCCATAATGAAAAAAGAATACCTTGACTGTGCCCAATGGAGTATTTTAACTGTGAAATACACAAAAGTACATTTTGTACTCTTTCCTTGGGAATAAGAAACAATTTGGACAGATATTTCCTCGGTTGTTGTTGCCAGTTTGAATCTCATTTAAATGATATCCAGCCTTGCATGCAGTCTTCCCCGCCTTTAATGTTACAGGAGTAGGTTAGTTAAGGTCAATTATGGGCATGCTATTTCAGAGTTGAATGTGGTGTTGATGAGAATTAGAGGTATCTTCATGAGTGGTCAGCAGGGAATTACAACCAAGTTTGTTATTTGAATGTCTTTTACAACTGGATATACTTGCCTGTTGACTATCACCACCAGAAGTCTTACATCTCATAATCTGTCAGAAATTCAAATACATGTTCAAAATGCTTGATGGGCTGCAACCTCAAATTAACCTGAGCCATATTTTGAGCTGCTTACCTCAGTTTATTGTTTATCAAATATTTATATAATTTAATTTATTAAAATTGGTTCTAAAATCCTGATGTAGTCATAAATTTTACTGATTTATGAAGTCATATCTGCTCCGTTCAATAACTGTTAACCAAGTGTACAAGTTTAGAAAGGTTGTTGCACCACAGCATCTGAAAACCCTTTTCAGTTTCTCTTTTGATTTGAAATCCCTCATAACTGACTGACACATTTCAGTCAGTTGCTTCTAGTTATGAGGCTTTCCCTTCATCCATTTTTTTCTTTAAGCCAGCTTAGCCACTGCATCACAACTGAATCAAATGGCATGTTCTGACCTGAATGTACAGTGGCTTAAATTCATTGTTTTTTTTTTCTCCAAACCTCAAACTGTACCCTACAAAATTTGGCTCTGGAAATTACAGAAATGTTAAGAAGTTCATTTTTAAGCTGGCAGGTGTTCAAATTCTATAGCTGTCTTTTCCACTCATTCAAGTTAAATTTCCCTAACTAAATAACAAAAATGAAATTGAGAAATCTAATAATACTCAGATACTGATGAGTTCGTGACTGCGTGTTCTCAACTGCTTGGACTGTGGAATGTATATATACACATACATATATCCAATAACATCACAGAGAAACGAGTAACAAACAAAGAGAAACAATATCCTAGAAGAACCTCTACACCTTCATTCAATACATTTATCCATACACACATTACAATGTAATAAGTATGTAGTATAGCAAAGGGACTTATGTTCATAGCCTCTCACCACAAGATGTCATAATACAGTGAAGCACAAAGAATCACCAGAAGATTAAACTCTTCTTCCAGAATTACCAAAGTCGCACTTCGCAGCAAAAACATTTGTGCCCGTACATGAAATTTTCAGTAGACTGATACATGACATTTGAGAGCGGAGTTTCTAACTCTGTTTCTTCAGAA